CCTCTTGCTCTCGACAGGCGGCGCGGCGGGAGCCGCGGGACCTCCCGCGGCGGCGGAGGCGGCGGCGGGAGCGGAGGCGGCGGCGGCCATTTTAGAGCGGGCGGGCGAGCGCGGCGGCCGCGCGCACAATGAGCGCGGTGCCCGGATGGAGCGCGGCCGGCCCGCGCCGCTGCGCACGCGCCGAGCGGCGCACCTGGCCCCGCGCGCCCGCCCCGCCCCAGGGCGGAGGGAGAGGCCGGGCCGGGGGGGAGCGTGAGGGGGAGCGGGGCCCGCGCGGGGTTCCGGGCAGCCCCTGAGGGGGGGACATTCCCCTGCTGCTTCTGCGGCCCCTGCGGGACAGATCCCGAGTCCTGGGAAGGGCAGCGGAGCTGGTGCAGGTGTGGAGCGCAAGTCCTTTTGGGGAGCGGCTGAGGGGGCTGGGGGTGTTTAATGTGGGGAAAGGAGGCTCAGGGGTGACCTTCTCGCTCTCAACGAGTCCCTGACAGGAGGGTGTAGCCAGCTGGGGTCGGGCTCTGCTCCCAGGCAGCCAGAGACAGGACGAGAGGAGAATCTCCAGCTCCCCCAGGGGAGGTTCAGGTTGGACATCGAGGGGAATTCTTCACAGGAAGGATGATTAGCCACTGGAATGGGCTGCCCAGGGAGGTGGTGGAGTCACCGTCCCTGGAGGTGTTTAAAGAACGACTGGACGAGGCACTGAGTGCCATGGTCTGGTTGACACGGCGGTGTCGGTCACGGGTTGGACTCGATGATTTCAGAGGTGTTTTCCAACCTAAATTGATTGTGTGGTGCTCTTGCTACCGACTTGGGAGTTTAGGAAATCCCCTTAAACAATTGATCTGTTTGCATAACTGTCTTTTACTGTAAGTATTCAAGAAGTACACTATTAATGTTTTAAATAGTTAGCAAAGTACCTCTTCGTATGATTTATTAGGCTGTATTTGTACCAGGTAATGAAAGGTGTTACCTCTTAGTTACCATTTCATTCGTTTTCTGCAGGGAACACTTCAGTGTCAATAGTAGATCTACAGCTGCTATTAAATCTTGAAATGGGGCAAAATCTGTGAATTAAAGTACATGTAAACCAGTTTAAGTCACAACAGTCCTCTTGTCTGGTCACTTCATTCAGAAATTACATACAGATAAAAATGAAAAAATGAACGAGGGTTCATTTTATTTTAACAAATCTTTGTTAAACAAATTAAGTCCTGAATACTAAAAGATGTTACATTATCGGTTTTTTCATTTCAAAATGCATTTTAAGTATTTAAGTAATACTTTTGACTAGCTAGTTATCAGTTAACAAAGAGTAAAATCTATGTTAAACATGCACAGAAGTCTTAAACCAGACTTTAGTCTGGTAATTCCATGTATGTTTAGGTATATAATGCTGCTGTTGCACTTGGTACCAAGATTTTTATAAAGAAAGAACAGCCTTACATAAGAAATTAATCTATATTCTTCATTATGCTATTGTCTGATAAAATTTGTATTAACTTCAAATACAGGAGAATTGACTTTGAGGCTAATAAATGAACTCTTTAGCTTAACTTTATAGAAACGTTTTTGTGAGTGTATAACATCTAAACAGTGCATGAAAAAGACCTGAATGTACTTTTTTTTCCTGTTATTTTAAAATCAGCAGTGCAGGAAAGCTTTGACTGGGTCTGTCAGCTTTACTGTGGCAAACTGTTGTACAAATACACACAAAACCCTCTGGCTGAGTTACACTGTTAGTGAAGGCAAGTTTACTGTGTCCGGGTTCTGGAAAGAGGATAAGAGGATAATACAGCATTTGTGCTGGTTTTTAGGGGCTGCTCGACAGAGCTAAACCTCAGTGCTTGTTGGTTGCTAAGATGTTGTCACAGGAGAGTGGAAGGCTTAGACAAAGTTATTAAAAAGCAAAGGTTTGTCGGTGAGTCTCGAGGCACAGAAAAGACTCCCTTTCTAAAGCCCTTCTCACAGAAGGGTTTGGGTGCAGCTGAATCCTTTCTGAGCCTCGGACTGTGTGATTTAAATTTAATAGAGGTGTGATTAAACCACTTTGTCCCGCAGGTTTTAATGATTGGCAAAATCAGAATATTTATATCAAATGAATAACTTATTTTATACAAATGATCAGACAAAAGATCTTAATCAGAATTATTTACTACACAATAGAAACACTAAAAATCTACTAGTAGAGCATAATATAGCAAAAAGTAGTATAGTGCACTGCAACAAAGCAATTATTGAAGCAGTTATATTAAAACTAACAAAAAGAAATAATTATTAAGTCGAGATCTGATGTAGAGACCAATGCTCATGGGGAGATCTCTTTCTTTCAGCCTCAAGAAGTGACCTTTGTGGGCATCCCCAGCCAAGGGGGGAATGTCCACACATACACCCCAGAAGGGGTTATGTCAGAAGAACCTGACTGCACGAGAGGGGACTGGACTTTTACAGTATAAAGTGTGTCACACCTTTACAGGCCAGCTATCAGCTCATCTGTTAAATCAGACTCCAAAAAGCAGGTTGTGTATTCAAATTCTGGTGGACCAGGAATGGTTTGAGCATAATTAACACCAAGACAACATCCCGGCTCCAGCACTTGATCTTGCATTATAGCTTGATTGGGTTTTAGGTTTTATCAGGGTGGATCTGTCCTGCCACACAGTAGATGTCAAAGCTTTATAGCTGACACTTCCCTCCCAAATACAAAGCAACCAACAGAGCCAAAAGTGACTTACCATGGATTCTCAGTCATCCTCCTGCCTCGAGGCACAGTAAACTATTATGAAAATACCTCGATGGATGTTTGCTTAACCTGTTCTTAAAGCCTTGAACGCAGATTCCACTCATTCCTCAGGCAGTCTGGTCTAGTCCTTTTTTGAGTGTCTGGATTAAATACCTTTTGCTGCAGTTTAGCCCATTTATTCCAAGTGAATGTGGACACTGTTCCCTTTCTTTTTGCAGAAAAGCACGGATTATTTTTTTTAACCAGTTCTGAAACACATGATCTTTTGTTGTTGCACACCTGTAGCTCCCATCCAATCTTTTCACAGCTCCCCAAAGTTCCCCTGGTGACAACTCTTCTGATCTCAGTAGGATGTGTTCCTTTTTCAGCCTCCTAAACTTGTTGACAGGTTCTGCTTGTGATCTGCTCTGCCTGTTGGTTTCTCTTCTGCAATTTATTAGAACAATTACTCCTTTCTCTGCATCTGATTTCTTTGTAGTGGTCTTTATAGAATCATCACCCCCCCTTGCAATGATTTCACACTCTAGTCCTGACTTCCACTCTTTGCAGTCCCTCCCTGGCATCAGCTGCAGGTTAGTGAGCACAGTCTCTAAGCCTTTACTCAAAAATACTTCAATATAGAAGTGTATGAGGAATTTTGTTTGATGTTAACATGCAGTTTGATAGTCAATTGCTAATAATGAGCCTGTAAATACAACCACTTTGCACCAGATTTATGGAGTTTCTGATCAGAAAAAATGTCCATGTCTTTCTTATGAAAATGTGAATGAAATAGAGAAGCTTTATGAAGATCTGCAGTTTATTTCTGTGCAACCATAAATGGAAATAAGTTTGGTTTGATACACTGTTATGAACAAACTATGTCATGAACAAATGTTATTTGTCACTTTGTTATTTTCCAGGTATCTACAAATATTTCGAATTTGTCCAGGAATTTTAAACAAGTTGACTGGTTTCTAATTTTCCATTTGTTTGATTGTTGTGTTTTGTCTGTTTTTAAGGAAAAAGGCTCAGTCCTTTAGTAGCTTCTTGAAACATCTACTAGTTTTTAAAATAAAGATTGTTTTATACCACAACGTTCTGAAATTTGTGGAAGAGTTTGATAAGGAAAAGGTAATAGACTTTCAAAGAGAATAAATGTTTGGCCCAGATATTAATATTTCATCAAGTACAAACCTGTGCTCCTGTAAATTCTTTTTTGCTTGTCTTGTATGTGAAACACCTAAAAATTGTGAAATAAGGTTTTCCATGGTTTTCATTAGATTTTTCATGTTTTTCCCTGGGCTGTGTACCTGGGTGGGTTTGGGGGTTTTTTTCTGTGCAGATTATTATCCCAGTTTCAGCTTTGCTGACCAGTCTGTTCCCAGCCTCACTTTGAAGCACAATGGACCAAACACTACTTTTATCTTTTTAGTGGCTTCATGCAGTTGGTACCTGCATTTTTAATTAATTAAAACTGCAGTTTTAACGTGTTTGGGCTCTGTAAAAATGCAGAGATGTTCAGGAGTAGAAGAAATAGTTCTTGCCTCTTGTTTTGTAAGGAAGCCTGGCTAGAGCATTCAACTGGAATCAACAGGCTGTCCCAGTTTTCTCCTCTTCAAACAGCCAGCCATTTATCCATATCCCCTCCTAAAAAAAAGAGATGTTGGTTTAAGGAAAGGGGAGGGGTTGGGGGTGCTGCAAGGTCACCTCTGAATAACGTCCCTACAAATAAACAGGATCCTGTCTCACTTGAGACATGTTGCTCTGCCCTGTCTTTTTATCAGCAAATCTCTGTGTAGTTCTCAGCTTCACATACTGTTAGTTTAAAATCTGACTTTTGCAGCCTGTGTTTTCACTCTTAACTTTAGTTAACAACTCCAACAAACTTTTGTTTGCTTCTGAAATTCAAGTTTCTAGTACAGTATTTTGGATTCTGCTTTGGGCACTGAGTCCATGAAAGCTTGTTGTTACAGCAGTAGATGATCCAATGACTCAGATCCTTATTGAATCTGACCCTTTTTTAAAAAGAGTGAGGCTGGGCACCTGCTGGATTAACTGAAATAGCAGGAAGAGTCCCTTTTACTTTGAAAGACACTAAGTCTTGTCCCAGTTCTCATGTTTCATTGCCTGCTTACTATGACTTTGCTTTTATTAGTTCTTGATATCAATCCGACTGCATTCAAACCTCTGACCATGTTTACATTTAAAAGTTATTAGCTGGTATGTTTGCTGCACTATTTCTCTCCTCTGCAGTCAAAGCAAGAGTAAAAACCATTTGGGATATTTTCAGTGAATACCTGACAATAGATACACTTTAAGTCACTGGTAATCCAATACACATCACTGCTATAAAAAAAAAGTTTTTTCCACTCTGAGTGTGTAGCTTTCTTTTTGATGTATTATTGATATACTGCATGATGAGCAGTCAGAAGAAGGTTGTAGAAACTAATTTCTGATCTCTAAATAGCTCTTGTTACAATTCTTCTACAGAACAGCAAGGAAAAGAACATAAATCTAATGGTAAATCAAACACAGATATTTTCCTTTATTTTACCACTGAAAGTATATATACATGCTAGGAAATGGCTATTGAATTTCTTAGTGTAAAATCAGATCATCAAATGCAGGATGCTTTTGTTTGTTTCAAACCTAATTGCTCTAAAAATAGCTGCTGATGCATCATTAAAACACAAAAATGTATTTGGCCTCTTTGTTGTTCAAGCACTGAAAGAATAAAAAAGGAATATCTCGTGATCTTTCTGTTATGAGGTTGGTGGGGTATTTGTAAGAAAAAGACCCATTAAAAATACCGTCAACAAAGTAGTTATTTCCAGGTAATTACACACCACACCTTCTTAATTATATGGCAACTTAAATACTCAAGGAGTCAGATAATCTCAGTAAGATATTTTGAGGCCTTAGTAAGGTGATTTCTGAAGTGGTGTGGTGTGAAAGCGCTGTTGCCAACCGTACAAAGCCTTGTCAGGCTGCACAGCATGAAATCAAACGAGTGACTGCTGGGTCATTCCTGCATCCATGTTATACTGTAATGTAGGGTATTTTGTTCTTCCATGTATCTTAAAAATATTAGTTACCTGAGTGCTGCATGTTATTTTCCAGAGCTTTTGAAAGCTCTTAGATCAGTTCCATTAGCAAATGTCCTGTATTTATCGTCAGGAAATGTGTAGCACTGACAACTGTCCAGTTTGATTTTTGACTCTGTAAATGCATCAGTGTTTTGTTGTTTCCTACTAGCAATTTTTCATAATAGCAATCTTCCAGCATTTTTTCCTCTCTTCCCTGTTTCTCCCATTTTCACTGGCAACATCTTCATCTGGGCTGACTGGAGCTGTGACTGTTTATGATCTGAGTATCAGTCCCACAGTTTTTGTGTTCTGCTTTTCTGTAGTATCCTCAAGTCATACGGCCATGAGAGGGTTTGCAGTTTATTAATATCACTAGTAATTGTAAAGTGACTTAACACCTGCAAACATTGAAATATCTGCTGCAGTGTGGTCCATTTTCAGTCTACACAACTGCAGATGATGGAAACGTTAACGATGGCCTGCTGAAGAAATACCCTGGTGTGAGTGACTGAGCTCCTGCAGCACCCTGTGTGACAGGAGAGCCACACTCCTGCAGGAGTTTGGAGGTGTGTACTTCCCATATTGTCCTGGGCACTGCCAGGCTTGCAGTGAGCAGAACTCAGAGCAGAGACACCTCTCTGTCAGTGCCCAGCGGGACTGTGTTCCAGAAGCTGGTGTTTGCCTCTGGAAAAAGCTGTGCCTGGCTTTCCTTGGTGACAAGCAGAGGGATCCAGCCCTCTGGAACAGAGCTGTGCCCCTGGAGATACCTTGGGGTGAGGGCTTGCTTTGATTTTTGTCTTTGTGCCAAAAATGTGAAGTGGGGTGTTTTGATCTTAGATAAGATGGTTTCTTCTCATGTGTTTAGTTCTGCCAGGCCCTGGGGTGCACACATAAATGGTTTTGTTCAGTTCCAGTTAGAAGTAGTTGAAGAGTTCAGTGTGAACTGATGGTACCATGGCCTGAAAGCCATTCTGAGATTTGCATTCCTGATTCAGGATGATTCCGTTTAACCTTTTGGTTTTCTGTAGCTAAGGAGTGAGAGAAGGAGAATCTTTTTCATCCAAAGAATTGATAAAATATTTTCAAGACAACTGTCTGTCACTGCCAGATACTAAAATAATGACAGAAATAACTTTATATCAAAGGGCATAGATAGAAGTTGGGTTTTTTTTCCTAATTGTGAATAATTCTAGTCATTGAAGTGTTTTTTACATCACTTTTCTTTAAAAATTTTGTTAATAACCAGTCAATAAGGGACAAACTAATTTTTATCAAGTGTTAATTTAGGGGTGAGCTTAGGGGTGAGCTGGCCCACAGGTTACCTGTTAGCTGGTAGCCCATGGTGAAATAGGAAATGGCCCATAGGAAATCTTAACTAATAAAGATATTAGGAATTCTGCCTTTATTTGATTTTTACCCAGTGAGAAAAGGTCTACAGAATCATACACAATTATAACATTGACAGGTCATCTGGCCACTCTGGGAGAAAATCAGGACTATCTATACTTACCCTGCATTGCTTTTTAATTTGTGAACTGAAAATTCAAACCACTCTGTAGCCCCTTGTTTTTTGTTTTTGAAACGGTCTTTTGTGTGCCTTTCAATTGGTGAGCATAGTGACTCTCTACATTTTCTGTGCCAAGAACCACCTTTCTGTCACCTTTGGCACAAGTGTTCAAAACAATTATTACATCAAGAGGTAAATGCATGACTAGTTGGTGTGGGGTTTTATTGGTATTAGTCTCTGATCAGCTTATTTCTGAAATAAGTCAGTCAGTCAGAAATTATCAGTCTCATTTCTGAAAGTAATCCAGCCAAGTTTCATTAGCTTCCTCTCATATTATCTATGCTGTTTTCCTAAATGTCCTGTTAAGATTAGAGTTCACCTTCCCTGGATATGTACTCAAAAAAAGGTGCATAAAGTAGTTGTTAGGCTCCATCAAGAATGTTTTTTACAACAGCATTGAAACCTTTCTCTCTGAAAATTATTAGACTAAAATACTGTACAGACATGTTTGTTTCTTCATGTCTTCATCATGTTGTTGGTCATTTACTTAATTACATAGCTTATTAAAGTTCTCATCCTATTGCCTTTTACCTGACAAATAACCCCAAATTTTTAGTTATTAATACTCAACTGCACATTCCTTATATTTTACATTTTTTCACTTTGCTCCTATTACTTCTCGGGGTCATCCAGTTCTTCCCATATATTGTCTTGATTTTTTTTTCCCCCAGCTGATTTTTATTAAAGTATTTCAACTTTGGTTCCAGTGCTTAATGGGAAATATTAAAATTGCTTACACAATCAAGCCACTAGTGACCTCCTTTGAATATGATATAACCTTTTTCCCACTGTTGCTTTCTCCTCATTCTCTCCAGGAACAACCAGTGTCATTGGTTATTTCACCCGTGGCCAAGTGTCAGTGTTGACTGAAACTGGCTGGATGTGACATGACTTAAAAATAAATAAATAAACTAAATCTACCAAACACACAAGAAAT